ACGCGGTCGTTCAGGGAGACGGCGGTCGGAGGCAGGGCGGTCCGAGGAAGCCCCCCGAGGCCCCCGGAATACGCCCAGGAGGCCTCCAGAAGGCCTTACGAAAGCCCGAAACAGCTTTAGCGAGGCCCCTAGAGGCTCTCCAGGGAGGAGCCTCCGCAAAAAAAGAGCTGAGGAGGATGGGGAGAATGCGCAGGGCATGGCGAAAATAAGGAACAATAAGCATGGAGGAAGGATAACGAATAACATAAATATAGCGGCGATGCCGGAAAAGGCAACAAGGAGTTGTCGCTAAATTGTCGGCTTGACCTCCCTGCCATTCCGCCTGCGTGCCAAACTTCAAGGACCAAGGTGCATGGCGCGAAGCGCCACTGCAGTCTTGTATATATATATATATATATATGTATATAGATATGTATATGTAAATGTAAATGTAAATGTACATGTAAATGTAGATGTAAATGTAAATGTAAATGTAAATGTAAATGTATATGTATATGTATATGTATATGTATATGTATATGTATATGTATATGTATATGTATATGTATATGTAAATGTATATGTAACTGTAAATGTAAATGTATATGTATATGTATATGTATATGTATATGTATATGTATATGTATATGTATATGTATAGGTTTGTATGTGTGTGTGCGAATTGTGCAATGACGTGCGATCTACGCGGTGCAGGCTATGTGGCGCGATCCACGCGGCGCGGTCTACGCGGTGCAATTGACTTGTGGAACTCGCAGTTGCCAACTCAACTGCTCGCGCAACCACCCCACCCACCCACCCACTACTTGTCCTGCAAAAAACGAGCGGCGGCGATTGCCATGAGTGCTTGGCATTGGCTGGTGCATCTCTGCGGCCGCGCCAGCCCGCGCATGCACCTGCGCGCGACGGCCAGCTAGCTTGGCGCGACCGGCGCGGCCGCGATGGCGCGGACCGCCGGGCGCATCCCAGCGGGCACTTCAGTGCGAGTCGGCGACTTGGGCGGCCGCGGTGTCGCAGCAACGTCGACAGCGGTAGACGGGGCGATGATTGCGGCGACGCCGGTGGCGATGCTGAAAACGACGACGGCGCGACCAATGACGGCGCCGATGCCGATCGCGCCGACGGCGATCGGGGATCTTCTGACCCGGGTCAATCCAGACCCGGGTCAGCGAAGAACCAAAAACTGCAATGCAGGAAAAAAACTGCAACGCAGATATTCGCAAACCCAGGTCAGCCAATAGGCGCGGCCGCCTCGCGGCCACGAGCGGCTCGCTAACCCGGGTCAGCCAGAGGGGGTCTTCGCAGGATCCTGCAGGGCCCAGCGCCCTGGCTGACCCCCGTCTGCACTGACCCCCGTCTCGAGGCTCCCGAGACGATGGCGGCGCCTTCGCACCGGCGACGAAGTTTTGGATAGAGTTCGACACGCGCGCGGTCCACGCGCGAGAGCAGCCCGCATGGGATTATTTGACGCGGATCGTGCCCATCCAGCGCGCGAGCAAGGGCGCTCGAATGATTTCGGCGCTCGGCGCCAGAGGCCCGCTTGGCAGAATCCGATAACAATGTTGAAGAACTCATGGTTTTCTTTAGAATTCGCAAGAGCGCGATCGCAGGCCTTGAAACCCGCCGCTGCGAAACCATGCTGTTCAAATGATCTCGCGACACTCGGTTTTGAAGTCCTTACGAAAACTAAGGTTTTTGAAGGATGTCGACACGCGCGCGCGCGCTACGACGCGCCCGCGCACTTCGGCCCATTTGTTGCAATGGACTCTTTGGAAACTGATGAGTTTCATAAACCGGCGCGCGCGCGTATTTTCTTCGCAGAAGATGTCGGGGGGGGGGGGGCGATGCCGGCCCGCCCAGGGTGGCGTGGCTTCACGTTTGGACGGGCGATGGGGCAGTACCAACTGCAAATTGCAACGCGAAGAGGGGCGCCGATGCTCCCGGGTGGCGGGGGGGGTCTACGGCGCGATACCTCCGAGGCATTCTACGTGGTTCAATCAATCTGCGCGGTGCAATCTGCGCGGCGCAATTGGCTTGCACGCGCGAATTGACACACTCCATGCTCTTGCAAACGCCCCACCCACCCACCCGCTACATGACTTGCAAAACACGAGCGGCGGCGATTGCCATGAGCGCTTGGCGTCGGCTGGCGCATCTCTGCGGCCGCGCCAGCCCGCGCGCGCGAGTTTGGCGCGACCGACGCGGCCGCGGCGGCGCTGACCACCGGGCGCGCCGCAGCGAGCACTTCCATGCGAGTCGGCGACGTGGGCGGGCGCGGAATCATGGCAACGTCGGCTACGGTGGACACGAAAATAATAGTAGCGACGTCAGTGCGACGTTGAGAACGACGACGGCCCGGCCAGCGCGGGCGCCCACGCCGGCCGCGCCGATGACGACGACGACGTCGTCACCGCGTCGGCGATGCAGTTTTTGGAAAAGAGTTCGACATGCGCGCGCGGCCGACGCGCGAGCGGCCCGCAGAGCATCATTCGACGCGGATCGCGCCACCCCAGCACGCGCGCAAGGGCGCGCGAATAATTTCGACGCGCGGCGCGAGAGGACCGCGCGCGAGCGCGCGCCTTCTTGAAAACTAACGTGGCGAAGCCATGTGTTTCATGCTGGTTTCGGACACTCGGTTCTGCAAAGCGTTGCGAAACCGAAGGTGTTTCGCAGATTCTGGCACGCGCGCGCGACGACGCTCGCGCGCGCACTTCGCCCCGGACGTTGCACAGGATTCTCGCGACGGCGCGCGCGCGAGAGGGTTCGCATGATTTCGACATGCGCGCGCGCGAAACACTTTCGGCAGCGCGCTTTGCAAATTTTGAATCGCCCACGGCATTCGGAAAAAAAATCGCAAGAACGCGCGCGCAGGCCTTTTCGCAGAATCCGACTGCGAAACCCCGCTGGAAAACAAAATTGGCGCAATCGATTTTGACAGCCTTGCGGGCGCGAAGGTTCCGGGATGATTCCGGTATGCGCGAGCGACGACGCGCGCGTGCACTTTGTCCCATTTGTTGCAAGCAATTACGGAAAACTCATGAATGGTGATAAACGAGCGCGCGCGCGTATACTTTGTTGTCGCATAGGGTGGCGCATGGGATGAATTCATATTCAGGATGGACGATGGGGCAGAATCATATGCGAATTATTACGCGAGAAGGTGAACCGAAAATCCCCAGGGGGTAGAATCGATTCTCCTTCAAGGCAGGAAAATGAATCTCTGTTTTCAATGAATGCCCCCTTCCACTTCTCGCACAAACATCCCACCCGCAACTTGTCTTGCAGAACACGAGCGGCGGCGATTGCCATGAGTGCTTGGCGTTGGCTGGTGCATCCCCGCGGCCAGATAGCTTGGCGCGACCGACGCGGCCGCGGTGGCGCTGACCGCTGGGCACATCCCAGCGGGCACCTCAGAGCAAGTTGGCGACTTGGGCGGGCGCGGTATCATGGCAACGTCGACAACGGCAGACACGATGATGACAGCAGCGCTGCTGGCGACGATGCTGACAGCGACGACAGCACGGCCAGCGATGGCGCCGATGCTGATCACGCAGACAACAATTACGGCGTCACCGCGTCGGCGCTGCAGCTTTTGGAAAGACTTCGACATGCGCGCGCGACCGACGCGCGAGCGTGGCCCGCATGGAATTTGTTGACACGGATCGCGCCCTTCCAGCGCGCGCGCAAGGGCGCTCGAATGATTTCGGCACTCGGCGCGAGAGGCCCGCTTGGCACAATTTCATGATCATGTTGAACATGTCATGGTTTCTGAAGAGTTCGCAAAAACGCGCGCGCAAGTTTTTGAAAACTGATGTCGCGAAATTGTATGGTTTCAGGACACTCGGTTCTCAAGTCCCTACCAAACCCCAGGTTTTTGAAGGATGCCGGTATGCGCGCGCGACGACGCGCGCTTGCGCACTTCGTCTCATCTGGTGCAAAAGATTATTGCCACAGCACGCGCGCAAACGCGTTCGAACGATTTTGACATGCGCGCGCGAAACCATTCTGTTGGCAGTTTATGAAAAGCTTGAACAAGCCAATGGTGCTCGTAAAAATTCGCGAGAAAGCGCGAGCAATTTGTTGAAACTCCGCGTTGCGAGAAAAATGTTGTTAGTATGTGTTTGGACACTCGGTTTTGAAATCCTGACGAAACTGCAAGCTTTTGAAGCACTCCGGCATGCGCGCGCGACGACGCGCGAGTGCATTTCGTGTCATTTGTTGCAAAGGGTTCTTGAAAACTTCTGACTTGCGCGCGCATAATACGTTTTGCAAGGGATGGCGGGGGGGTCGATACTGATCGCCTGGAAGGATACGAATTCATGTTTAGGATGGACGATGAGGCAGAATCAATACATTGCGATACAAAAAAAGAGGGCGGATAATCCTGGGGGGGGATCTAACTATTCTCTTATAAGGAAGGCGAATCTAGATGTGATACAATCTATGTGGTGCAATTTTGCGAGGCTGCGACGAGGCGGCGACGGGCGGCGGCGACGGCGACTGCATAGCCGCCAGACTGGCGCAAAGCCTCAGACGATGGGCGGCGACGGGGCGGCGACGGCGACTGCATAGCCGCCAGACCGACGCACAGGCCCAGGCGATGGGCGGCGACGAGGCGGCGACGGGGCGGCGACGGCGACTGCAAGGCCGACAGACCGACACACAGGCCCAGACGATGGGCGGCGACGATGCGGCGACGGGCCGGCGACGGCGACTACATAGCCGCCAGACCGACGCACAGGCCCACTTCCTCAGAAGAGAAATAAGAAACTCTATCTGCAAGCACTGCTTGGGGACTAAAGCATACAAAACGTACTTTGTTTGGCCTCTCGCCTGGGACCTGGCCAAACGAGAAACGACGAAATGCAATGAGAGTACCAACGGGAAGCCAATCGGCGAGAAGGAGGAATCTGCGGGGGGGGGTCGCTTCCACCCCAGCCCCCGTGCTGGAAGCGTTGTAATTTCATCTGGTGAGGGGGGGTACCGGTTGCTTCCTTGGGTTACACACACGAATCTGTGCCCGAAAAAGGTCCTCCTCAGTCACAAGGCAATTCGTCCTGGTGCACTCAGGCCTTCACCTTCCGCTTGGCCGAGCCATCCTGACCAAGTCGGTCACTCTGGCGCTCCCTCCTCCTCGTCCTCATCATTATCATTCCTCCTCATCCTGCTCCTGCACCTGCTTCTGCTCCTGCTCCTCGTCCTCCTCCTCCTCCTCCTCGCTTCTGTCTGTTCCTCCTCCTCGTCCTTCTACTCCTCATCCTCCTCCACTTCCTCTCCAATCCTTCCCTTCCTCCTACTCCGAGCAAAATATTTGGCTGTCCGCGAAAGCACACGTAAACCGCGGATTCGCGGTAGCTTCCGCGCTTTCGCTTGGTTCGCCCCAGGCTGGAGCTTGTCGTGGTTCGCCCCACGCCAGGCCTCTCTCATTCCAGAGGTTACTTTTATCACGGCTCTCTCGGCACCATGTCGGGTCTCCACCGCCAGCCGTGGGTGCCACAGGACAGCAGCGGAAGGGGCGGCAAGCTCGTGGATCCCCACAGCCCCCCCTGCCCCTCTGCGTCGGCGAGCTTGGCCGCCTCTGCGCCCTGGCCTTGAGCACCACAGTAGCGGCAACATGCGGGCTGGGAAGTGGCAGTGCGAGCTGCGCGACTGCAGGAAGAATAAGGAGCGCTTCTGCTTCTGCAAGCACTGCCGCGCTGCCAGCAGAGGAAGAAAAACCTGCTTGCCCATAAACTGCCGGGGGTCCGCGCGGATGTCGTGGATCAGCGCTGAACCGCCAGGGGGGCCAGCGCCGACCCAAGAAATCCGCGCGACAAACCACGACGACTCCCGACCCACGACGGCCCACGACGACCCCCCGACTGCCGCCGACGACCCTCGCCCCACACGCCCCTCGCCCGCACCAAACGTGCGCGCTTGCCTGCTGCTGCTTTCGCCGCCCCCTCGACCCCTCCTGAACGAGTGTGTCCGCTCTCCGTTTTGTTTCTCTTCCCCCTATCCTCCTCTTCCTCCGCCTCCGCCTCCTTCTCCTCCTCCTCCTCCTCCTGCTCCTGCTCCTCCTCCTCCTCCTCCTCTCCTCCTCCCTCCTCCTCCCTCCTCCTCCTCCTCATCTCATCCATCATCATCATCATCATCATCATCATCATCATCATCATCATCATCATCATCATCATCATCATCATCATCATCATCATCATCATCATCATCATCATCATCATCATCATCATCATCATCATCATCATCATCATCATCATCATCATCATCATCATCATCATCATCCTCTTCCTCCTCCGCCTCCTCGCTTCCTCTTCCTCCTCCTGTTCCCGCTGTTCCTGCTCCTGTTCCTGTTCCTGCTCCTCCTCCTCCTCCTCCTCCTCCTCCTCCTCTTCTGACGAGGGCCAGCCTGGGGCGTGCTCGCCCAGCAGGCGCGTGGCCGCGCTGCGCGGCCGGTCGGCCGAGCCAGGCCGTCCACCAGCAGTGCGTGGGGGGGCCCGGCGGGGGGCACGCGGCGTGCGGCCGCTCGTGGCTGCCTCTCGCCTCCTCGTGGCCCTCCTTCTGCTCCAGTTGTGACGAACGAACAATGCACACCCATACCCATAGTGAGGTCGCTGGGGGAGGACTGGCTATGGGTATGGGTGCGGGTTGTCGGACCCTGGGGAACGCTCCCGTTCGAGCGGGGACCCCCATCCGACAAAACGCATCCATAGCCCTCTCCGATCCCCCTATGGGTATGGGTGTGTGTTGTTGGTTCGCAACTTCCTCTCTTAGACAGGCGCGTTCCACTACTCGCATAATATAGTAGCTACTCGCAAAGGGCCTGGATCCGCCGCGGGGGATGTGCGACACACTGCACAACGGCAGACCTATGGCTTTTCGGACGTCTGCGGGTAGGCACTCTGCGAGTCGCGGAACGCGCTCGGCCATCTCGGCACTGCGACGTTGCCCAGCGGCTCCTAGCAACGCGAAGGCGGCCAGGAGCCACCAGCAGAAATTCGTTCCCCCCCCCCCCGGTCTTGGTCTGGGGCTGCAGCTCGCAGGCCATGGGAAGTTGAGATGTGAAGGGGCCCTGGGACACACAAATAAATACACACAAATAACAGGATTCCCCATATTTCCCCACATTTTCTGGGTTTGTGTCTTCCCCCCCACTTCCCATATTTTTCCATACTTTCCTGGGAGTCGACGATGAATTGTGCCTGTGTGTTTTTCCCCCTCCCGAAAATGGTTGACAACCCTGCCGGTGGGAATCTCTTTCTGGGGCCCCTTCTGGGGCGTCGCGGCGCGATCTCTGGGGCGACGCGGGGCCCGCCACGGGGCGCCCACGCAGCGGCAAGCCTGGCGCGCCTGTGGTTCGCCGTGCGACGTCGACGAATCCGCAAGCCCAACAAACCCAGGGCACCCTGGAGGCAAGCAGGGTGTTTCTTGGCATGGGTCTCCACTGTACTATACTTTTCGTAAAGGTCACAACCCTCCCAGACGAGCAATTTCAGACCCCCCCCCCCGACCAGCCATGAACGGGCGGCCTTTTGCACAGACACCCTTGAGCCCTCCAAGACAGCTCAGATCAGGCCCTCCCAGGCCCCCCCCCGCCCAAATCAAACCCCCTCCCTTAGACTATGAGTTCCGGAGAAGGCTGCTTCTAACTATTAATACGATTAGCAAGCTGATGTGTATCAGTAATGGCATTCGTAGTACTACTACTACTGCTGTTACTAGTAGTAATAACAATGTTGATATGATATACTACTACTACTACTACTACTACTACTACTACTACTACTACTACTACTACTACTACTACTACTACTACTACTACTACTACTACTACTACTACTACTACTACTACTACTACTACGACTACTACGACTACTACGACTACTACTACTACTACTACTACTACTACTACGACTACTACTACTACTACTACTACTACTACTACTACTACTACTACTACTACTACTACTACTACTACTACTACTACTACTACTACTACTACTACTACGACTACTACTACTACTACTTACTACTACTACTACTACCTACTACGACTACTACTACTACTACTACTACTACTACTACTACTACTACTACTACCTACCTACTACTACTACTACTACTACTACTACTACTACTACTACTACTACTACTACTACTACTACTACTACTTACTACTACTACGACTACTACTACTACTTACTACTACTACTTACTACTACTACTACTACTACTACTACTTACTACAACTACTACTACTACGACTACTACTACTACTACTACTACGACTACTACTACGACTACTACTACTACTACTACTACTACTACTACTACTACTACTACTACTACTACTACTACTACTACTACTACTACTACGATTACTACTACTACTACTACTACTACTACTACTACTACTACTACTACTACTACTACTACTACTACTACTACTACTACTACTACTACTACTACTACTACTACTACTACTACTACTACTACTACTACTACTACTACTACTACTACTACTACTACTACTACTACTACTACTACTACTACTACTACTACTACTACTACTACTACTACTACTACTACTACTACTACTACTACTACTACTACTACTACTACTACTACTACTACTACTACTACTACTACTACTACTACTACTACTACTACTACTACTACTACTACTACTACTACTACTACTACTACTACCTGCTACTACTATTACTACTACTACTACTAGCAAGTCATATTATTAGTATTGCTATGCGTATTATTGTTACTATTATTAATATGTTTATTCTTCTTCTTCGAGCCAGGGCTGGCAGCACGTCCTCGTCGGCTTGGCAGTGCGACTCCGCCTCTCGGCTCTTCAGGGGCCAGCGCGCCCGCCGCGCGGCGGCGGGCGCGGACGCCAGCCGCGCGGCGTGATCTGGGGGCGCGGGCGTGTCTTGATCGATTGGTCTGGCGGAAGCTTCCTGTGATTGCCACAAATCAGCACGAAATGGGTACGGAAAGAATGGGCACAATGCCCAGCAGCAGCTCCTGTTCATTTTGAACCGGGCTCGCTGTCCGCGGCGCCTCGGCCTGTGTCCACTTGAAACAGGAAGCCCCTGATTTCTCGATTGGGGATCGCGCTGGCTTCCGATTCGCCGTGCATGTCGACGTGTATGATGCTGCAGGCTCCGCATCCCAACTGACGCGCGGGTATGCTCACTTGTCTTGACGTGTCTTGTGACCCGCGCGGCTGGCATCCCAACTGGTGTCCGCGTCGCGCTCCTTACCGGGCACCGAGCTCGCTCTTTGCGCAGGCGGCCCACTCCCGCCTCTAACTGGTGCTCGGGGGTTGAGTCGGGCTCGGGGTGTCACGTCCCCGCGCAGCTGATGTGCTCGGCCCGCGCCAACGCTTGCTGTTTTTTTTCCCCCCTCCCGCCCAACTGCGGGCGGGGCCCGCGCCAAGTTGGGGGCTCAAAAAAGAAAACGAGACACGACAGCCACCAAAAGAAAGCAATTTCTATCGACGAGCTTGCTTCTTTCGTCCGAGCCCGCCTTGCCGCGGCTCGGGCGCGGGGGCCAGGGGCTGCGCGTTTGCAGTCTTCTGATGTATCGGCATTCGGAGAGCATCAGAAGCTTCAGCTCTCCGTACCGCAAAAGTCAAATTTGACTCCGAATGCGCCAAGTGCTTCATCCGGCGTTAGAAGAACGCCCCGTAAGGCAGAAGGGGCAAACATGCGCGATCCCGAATTGCGATGTCGCGGAAATCGACCCCGCCCGCCTGATGGAAAATTGGTCGAATCTCCAAAGGAATCCGCGTTCGGAGCCGCCGGGTTTCTCCTGCACCGCAACTGGCGCATAACATAAGTCGGGCTGGGCAAAATGAGGGGATAGCAAAGAGGGGGTTTGAGAATCAGCTCACGTAGCTGATTTTCCCAGGGCCTCCCGGCGCCGGAGGCGGCCATATATGGAGGAAGGAGCCCCTCGGTGGGGCCGAAACCAGCTACACGCAGCGGATTTCGTACCCCCCCCGTTCACGATCCCCCCCTTTCGTCGGGCCCGACGAAGGCACTGAGTCCGAGTTTACTAGGGGAACAAGAAGTGGCATAAACATAAAAACTCTGAGGTCCGCGCGGATTTCTCGGATCGGCGCTGGGGCCCCCTGGCGGCGCCTCCGGCGCCGCCCCTGGCGCGCTCCGCGCGCCAGGGAGGGGGGTCCAGCGCCGATCCGAGAAATCCGCGCGGACCTCCGAGCTTTTATGTTTATGTCACATTCCGTTCCCCTAAATCAGGCACCGAGTCCGAATGTATGGAGAAAAACTGCTTCTCCTTCTGAATGTTTGTCCAGAGACGAGGCAGCTGAAGGGGCCCTGGGACACACAAATCAATACACACAAATATAAGGATTCCCAATATTTTCTCATATTTTCTGGATTTTGTCTTCCCCCCCCCTTCCCATATTTTCCCAACTTTCCTAGGGATCGACGATTCATTGTGTCTGTGTGTTTCTTTCCCTCCTGAGCAGCAAGCACGCTTTCCTTCCGAAGAAGGCGGCGCGCCAGGGAGCCTGCACGTGGCCAGCAGCGCCGCCCACGGGGCCGTGCAGACTCTCGAAAGGGCGGGTGGCCTCCCTCGCCCGTGGTGCGCGACGCGCGTATGCCGCTGCGCCGCCAGAGAGCTCTCTCGCGGGCGTTGGCAGGACTGGGCTTGGCGGAACCTGGCCTGGTGATCTGTGCCAGTCAGGAGGGGAAAAAAACACACAGACACACTTACTCGTCGATTTCTAGAATATATGGGAAAAATGTGGGAAGTGGGGGAGAAGACAAAAATATTGGAAAACATGGGGGAATATGGGGAATCCTGCTATTTGTGTGCATGTATTTGTGTGTCCCAAGGCCCCTTCAACCAGGGGCGCCCCCCTTGTCCCACTTCCACGAGCCGGAGCTGCCGTCGCCCGAAAAAAAAGGCACCGGCCATGGCAGACCTGGTCTTTAGTGATGCTGGCCAAGTCAGAGGCTCCGGGCCCTACCACTTCACCGGGTCCCCTTGCCTTTAGGTCGGGCTTGTCCCCCTACAGGGGGACTTTGCCCGAAAAGACAAAAATACCCCAGACATGCTCAACAGATGCCCGAAAACGCTCCAAAAGTAATTCCCAGACTATGTCTTGCCTATCTTTGAATATTCCCCCTGTAAAAGGAGAGGCCCGACTTCAGGCCCACTCAGGCCTCGGTGGCTTATCGGCGGCCCTCCTGGCCTTCTGAGAAGCCGCGCCGCCTCCCCCCCTCCTCCTCCTCCCTCCTCCTCCTCCTCCTCCTCCTCCTCCTCCTCCTCCTCCTCCTCCTCCTCCTCCTCCTCCTCCTCCTCCTCCTCCTCCTCCTCCTCCTCCTCCTCCTCCTCCTCCTCCTCCTCCCTTACCCGGGGTCCTGGCCATACCCGACTCTCGCGGCAGAATCCTCTTGCCCGCGTCCGTCGGGCGGCAGCGGGCGCCCCGCCGGCGGCGCGGCGCGCGCTGGCGTCGCCACGGAGATCAAGTCGGGTGCGTCCCCCCATACAGGGGGATTTTCGACGAAAAATAAAAAGTACCCCCAACATGCTCCAAAAACTGGTTGGGGGGGGGATTTTCGACGAAGAATAAAAAGTACCCCCCACATGCTCCAAAAAGATCTCCAACATGCTCCAACATGCTCCAAAAAAATAGCCAACTAATCCCCAGACTATGTTTTTTTGAATAGTTTTGGCTGGTTGGGGGGGGGGTATTGTATCATTTTTCGTCGAAGATCCCCCTGTATGGGGACAGGTCCGACTTAACACTGAGAGGCCCCCGCGCCGACGGGTTCCTGGCATCTCTCGCCGCTCGCTGCGCGGCAGATGCGGATGCCGCCGGCTGCGGGGGAGCCAAAGAAGCTCCGCCGGCTGCGGGGGAAGCAAAAGCCCCGGGGCCCCCTCTAATAGGGAGCCCACGAAAGACGCACGCGCCCAGCTATGCGCATGAACACGGCCCCTCGATCAGAACGGCCGCGTTATACGAACAATTGCGCTATGCGTACTCTCGAAACCAGCGTGGATTCATGTACGTGTACGTCCTTCAGTCGCTCCCGATCAAGAGGGCCCGCGGCGGTGTCAGCCAAACGAGCCCGCAACCGTCTCGAGGTGGCAACGAGGTCCCTGCCCTTAAGTCGGATGTGCGCGGCCCCGCGAGGGGGGCCAGGGACGTAGTGAGATAAGAAGAGGCGCCCTGAAATCTGGGGAAAAATCATGGCCCCCGCCATGATGTCCACCCCCCCCCTAGTAATCACCCCCCTCTTTTCCGCCCCCGAGGCGCCTTCCAAACTCTGAGGTGGTGCGTCTGCGCGCGATGCCCTGCCGGGCCCCCGCTGCGCGGCCCGCCCGCCGCCGCCCTCCAGGAGACGGCCGGCCTCAGAGGGGCGCTCGGGCCCGAGAGGGCTCCCTGGCCGCGGAGCCTGGGGACTGCCCCACCAGAAGGGCTGGATACTCCAGATTTCGTAATAAAAGGGAGGGGGTCTGGACCCTCCAAGACAAGCCATGTCAGACCTGGGAGAACCCTCCAAAATATCGTCCCCAGACCCTCCCAGGCCCTCCAAGATAGCTTGGAAAAGACCCCCCCCGAAATGAGACCCCCCTCCCTTTATTACGAAATCTGGAGTAGGGCTCTCCCCCTGACGCTGGGGCAGAGCACCCAGGCAGAGGTTGACCCACTCAGGAGCGAGGGCGAAGCCTCTTGGCTGAAGGTCGATCTGGCGCCTAGCTGCACCAGCCGGTCCCAGAGAAGCGCGCATGCCTGGCCTGGTAGCCCGCGCCTGCGGGCTTAGCGGCGCGCAACTTCCTGGGGGTGATCCCATCACGGATTGGAGGTAGTACTGGCGAGACATGGGTTGTGCGGCAGGAGGCTAGCGCAGGGTGTCAGAGAGCAAGCGGGAGAGAGAGCGTGGGGGAGTGAGCTGGCATGAGAGAGCTGCTCTCTCGATTGGGGATCCGGCTGGTTTCCGATTCGCCGTGCATGTCGGTGTGTATGACGCCGCAGGCTCCTCATCCCGACTGATGCTTGGGTCTCTCACTTGCCTTGACGTGTCTTGTGACCCGCGCGGCCGGCATCCAAACTGATGTCCGCGTCGCACTCCTTACCGAGCACCGAGCTCGTTCTTTGCGCAGGCGGCCCACTCCCGTGCATCCCAACTGGTGCTCGGGGGTTGAGTCGGGCTCGGGGTGTCACGTCCCCGCGCTGCTGATGTGCTCGGCCCGCACCAAACAGCGCTTGCTGTTTTTGTTGTTTCATTCGTCCTCCCTCCCGCCCAAGTGCGGCTGGGCCACGCAGTCGTTCGGTCCCCAACTCCCGAGGCACGTCGCTAGCACGGAGTGGAAGGGGATTCCCTGGCCGCGAAGCCAGGGGGCCTCCCTACCAGGAGGGCTGGACAGAGATCCCCCCCTGATGCCGGGGCCGAGCATCTAGGCATAGATGGTATCGCTTCGGAGCCAGGCGCGTCAGCAAAAACACACGGACTGTTCTGACGCCCTCTCGTGCCACGGCACTCCCGAGCACTACCCGTGTCCCCATAACGAACTCTTCCGCGACGTCCGCAGGAGTGCCGTGTCGGGCCGAATCCCTACAGGAGCGGCCAGCGCTCGAGGCTACAGGGCTCGGGCCAGAAGCACATCTTCAGCAGAAAAGCGCGATCGCCATCATCATCAGAATGATCAACGGTCTCTCCGTGCTCGTCGTCCGCTCTGGTCCCCTCCCATCTCTCTGCCCAGCGCAAGAAACCTGGGCTTCTGCTGTGGGCTAGCGGCTGCACAGTGCCGGAAGAAGTGCAAACTCGCCCGATGCCTCGTCCAGTGCTCTTGCTTTGAACCAGAAAAGGGTGCAGGGCAATTCGATACAAGTCCCAAGCACAACCAACAAATCAAACGTCCATTGCACTAAATAAAAAACCCAATCAGTGGATGGTTTTCGCTGAGGAGATCGACCGGGAACCCGGGAGCCCGGGTACCCAGAACCCACCGAAATCGGCCCAAAACCAATAACCGGGAACCCTGGAACCCGGAACTGGGAACCCGGGAACCCAGCCTGCTGCCAAAATAGGCGGGAAACTTTCGCCAAATCTTTCAACTTCTGCTAGGACCCCTTCAGTGCAAGCACTGATTGGGGAATTTACTCCCCCCTCCCCTCCCCTCCCCTCCCCCATCTCAGTTCTGCCCCCTCCCGTCTAATGCCCTGCTCTCTTCCTCCCCTCCAGGACGATTTCCTCCGCTCGGCCCCCCCCCCCTTGCCCTCGCCTCCCCTTCCCGCTCCGCTCCTCCCCTTCCCCCCGCCTCGAATAGCCTTCTCTCCCAACCCCCTGCCCTCCCCCCCGCCCCCTCGCCTCCTTGCACCGCTCATTCCCGGCCTCCCTCCCTCTCGGGGGTGCGCAAACATGGATCGGGGGAGGCGCCCTCCCCAAAGTGCGGCCGGTGCCGCCTCGCTCGGCGGCGACAATCCGCGAGGTCCCATGGAAACGGGACCCGTCGCTCATCCACGCCCCTCTGATCCATGTCTGCGATCGCCTGACCCTCCCCTCCTCACTCTCGCCCTCGCCCCCAAGCTCCTCCCTTTCCCCTTCAGCTAGAGGAAAGAGAACTATGCACATACACCGATTCTGGCCAGGCCCATCCTGAGCCCAGGATCGGTGCATACGCCCTCTTACCTTGGCCAGGAAGGTATATGCACCGATCCTGGGTCAAGGATGGACGTTGTCAGGATCGGTGCATCTGCATAGTGCTCTTCGCCCGATCAGCGCGGGCATCCTCCAGGGCGTTTGCGTCGCCCATCAGCGGGGTCTGCTCCCCCGACGGCTTGGGCCAGGCGTCTCCGAGCACCTGCCGCGCGGCACGGCGGCTCCGCGGTGGCCAGCAGAGACCCAGGAAGCGGCCAGGAGGGCTCGGAGGACGGCGGACAGGAGGCCCCACAAGGGACTCCAAGACTGCCCCGCAGGAGCCGCAGACAGCTGCAAGACGGCCCCAAGCCTGAACCTGCGCGGGTGATGGCATCAGATGTCGAGGTACTGCGCCGTGGTTGAAGTACTTCCAACCACTGGGCACCAGAGGCCGTCAAGGTGGCCCCGAGACGGCCCAAGAGTCCTTGACGGAGGCTCCAAGACTGCCCAAGAGAATCTCACGACGGCCCAAGATGCTTCCACGACTGCCCCAAGACGGCCCGAATAAGCCCAAGACAACCCAAATGACCCTGAAAAAAAAAGTCAGGGTCCCCAAAAGACCCCGAAACGGCCCACAAAGGCCCCTTGAGACAGCCCAGGGAGATCCCGAAGACGCCCCGGAAGGACTTGAAGACTTCCACGAGCTCCTCCACGCTTGACGACACGAGGTCTCGCACGTTGTGGTTTCCTGCGCGTCCCTGGATCAGTCGCCACCCGGAGCGCTGAGTTGGCACAGTGGCGGGATTTGCCGCAAGCAGCTGGGCAAACGTGCCACGTAAAACGATCATCGGAAAAAGAAACAATACACTGATTGAGGCCACGCGTGTGACGATGTGTATGTGCATAGAACTTGTACACACAGACATGCATGTATATGTACATGCATGCATACATACACCAGTAAGCGCATGCATGCATGCATGCATGCATGCATGCATGCATGCATGCATGCATGCATACATACATACATACATACACAGATACATATACACATACGAGTGACACATAATTAGTTGTTGATATCCCCCTCCAGGGTACATTGTGTTTTTTTCAATTGCAATACCCTTTTGCTCCGGGATCCGCGCCCTGTTTTTCAATCCGGGAAAATATTGGGCCTCAGAATTGTATCGTCGACCCCCAGTTTACAACAACAGCGGCTCCAGCCTGATAGTTCCTCACAATGTATTCCCAAATATTACTCTCGCGCGGGACTTCCTCCCAACGCATGCAGAAATCACGCTCTCGCGTGGGACTCCCTCACAATATATTCACACGCTGCGCCCTCGACACCTAGGACTCACGCTCTCGCGGTGGATTTCCTCACAATCAATGTGGGAATCGCGCTATCGTTCGGGATTTCCTCGCGATTCATGCAAGGCGCACGTTTCACCGACCCGCCTGCTCGACCTGGCCGCCTGGGCCCGCCTTCCCGACCCGCCCATTATGTTTAACCCGCCCGAACTGCCCGCGTGGTTTTGCCGCACGTTTCTGTTAATATCCTCTCTCCTGCTATTCTCTTTACACTCTCGACCTCATGTTCCTTTCTCGCCCCTTCCCTTCTGCCCCTTCCTTCCATCCGTCGTCTCTTCCCCTGCCTCAGCGTCTGCACGCAATACACGTTGCAGGCAAAAGGCATATACCCCGCAGGCCCCCTCACACAACCTCCTTATCACCCGAAGGGTGGTCGTAGATGTTTAAAGAACCTACAGATTTACCCGCCGGCCCCCTTGCAAGGCCACCAGGTTGCGAGAGTGAGGATTGCAGTTCCTTGCTCCAGTTTCAGTTTCCAGTTTCCACTGTTACAATCCTGCTTTCTGCTTCCTCACAGCGAGTTGCTGCTGAACGCGCGAAGGGGGGAACCGAAAAGCGTCCTGGCTAACGTCTCCGAATCGCGTTGTCTGAATTCCTGGGGGGGCGTGGGACACGTACAAATTCTTGATATTCGCGTCCCCGAGGCCAGAATCCGTATACTACGTCCTACCATCGCGTCCCCGAGGCCACAAACCTTTCGAAAGTATGCAATATTTGTCGCGGCGGCGTAGCCAGGCCATCTTCTGGAGCGGTAGGTCTGGCCGTTCTCGGAGCGCGTCCGGCGTCGGAGTGTCGCGAGCGGCCACGTAAACCATTAGGCTTCTCGTGCACGCGGGCATACTGCGACGCTCGGAGCTTGTTGACCTCGTACTAAACATCGCTATTCGGGAATACTCCAGGCGCGCAGCGAAATTTCGCTGTGTGCACCCGCGGGTCGTCTGGCTCGTCGATGACGAGGCGGCGTCACTCGCGCTCCTCCCCGAAGTCATAATACCCGATACTCGCGTCTACGAGGCCATAAACCCTTATAAATTACGCGATAGTCGCGCACCCGAAACCATAAACCCATGTAAATGACGATTGCTCGGGCCCCCGAAGCTATCAACTTTCGAAAATTATACCATACTCGGGCCCCCAGGGCCATACGCCGTCATAAATTACACCATGCTTGCGTCCCGGAGGCCACACACCCTTTCAAATTACATTACACCATATGGGCGTCCCCGAAGCCATAAACCTTTGAAAATTACACCGTAGTCGCGTCCCCGAAGCCAAAAACCCTTCAAAATTATACAATATTCGCGTCCCCGAGGCCACAAACCCTTGCAAATTACTCGCGTCCCCGAAACATACACCATTGTAAAGTACACGATGTTCGCGCCCCCGAGACCATACACCTATGTAAATTACAACATGCTCGCGCCCCCGAAGCCAGCAACCTTCCAAAATTACCTGATATTCGCGCCCCCAGGGCCATAAACCTGGATAAACTACACTATGCTTCCCCAGGCCACAAGCCCTCTCTAATTACACAAGATTCGCGTCACCGAGGACATACACCCTCGTAAATTATGTAATTTCTGCGCCCCCCGAAGACATAAACCTTTGTAAGTTACACCATAGTTGCGTCGCCGAGGCCACAAAACCCTTGCAAATAACGCGATATTCGCGCCCCCAACCAAAATAGTGTACCTAATATTCGCGCCAGCGGAGCCATAAACCCTCGTAAATTAATATTAGCCCTTGCGTGAAGTCCGGACAGTGCTTCACGTGAGCGCCCAGACATCCCAACACAGCTCTGGCAAGTCCCATTCTAAGAGAGGGGGGCCGGCGGCATGGGGGCGAGGCCCTTACGTATATATATATATATATATATATATATATATATATATATACATTTACGTATACACACATACACATATATACTAGAACCATCGCGCGCGCTTCGCGCGGGCTTGGGTTCTAGCTGGTCGAATCCTGACGGTTTTGAGACAACAAGGCGGTCATGAACAATGAGGTCAACGTTCACTATTTCCTCCTGCCTCTTCCTCGTTCCTCCTCCGCTCTCATGGACAGGTCGACCGTTGATCTGTCGCCAAAATCTGGGCCAGGAAAAATGCAACGCTACAGCGCCATGTTGCACGGTGCTACGACGGAATGCCAAGATACACCATGCTACGCTATAAAGCGCAATGTCACGGTGCAGTATTCAATGCAATGACATGATACACTCTACAATGCACATTGCATGCCATGCCTTGCTATGCTGTGAAATACAATGACGATGAATAGGATGATACGCTGAGCCATACCATGCTACATTCCCTATGAGGAACGATACTGCCGCGTTATATGGTATGCACAGACACGGCATGCCGGACTATGCAATGCAATGCCATGTGATCCTATGTTACGAGCTGCTAGGCTAAAATAAACAAGACGACAGTAAGAACAAAAGCGGGAGTGATAGTTGCATGATTTCTGTTCACTCTAGCGCAGAGCAGTACGGTGCTGGTCGATTAATTTTATGTGCATTGGAATGCCACAGTACGCCACGATGTGTCATGAGATGCAATGCCATGCTAGCCAATGTTACGTCATGACGTGCAGTGCTAGGCTCAGCTAGACACTGATATGGAATGCAGTGCTATGGCATGCTGAACCGTACTGTGATATGCACTGGCACCGTTAGCTCTGTCGTGCTGTGCCGTGCCATGTCATGTCATGCAACGCTGCGGTGGCACGATAGGCTAGGCGGTTCTTTGCTATGCACAAGCATGATTTGGAGGCCTCTTGGGGGCCGTTTGGGGTGCTTTGGGGGCATCTTTTTGGACCTCTTTGAGGCCTCTTGGGGCCTCCAGGGGGCCTCTTGGGGCGGAAGGCTCGAATTGTCGGTTCGTGTTTCCCCTCTTGGGCCCCTCTTGGGGCCGTCTTGGGGCCCTCTTGGGCGACCTTGGGCGCCTCTTGAGCCGCCTTGGGGCACTCTTTAGGTGCCTCTGTGGGACTCTTTTGCGCCGTTGTGGCACCCTCTTTAGGTGCCTCTTGGGCCGTATTGAGCTGATTTCTGGGGCCTCGTGGGCTGTCTTGGACCGTCGGCAGCACGAAACAGCGAGAACACGAAAAACCTTCAAAAACACTCGGAAAAACCTACTTGTTTCGCCTCCTGAGTGTTTTTGAGGGCATCTTGGCCGTCTTGAAGCCATATTTGAGCTGTCTCCAAGCCATGTTGGACCAATTTTGAAACGATCTTGTGCGGTCTAGGGCTCTCTTGGAGCGCTCTTGGGCCATCTTGGCGCCCTCTTGGACGTCTCTCGGACCCTCTCGTCGCCCCCCTTCCCCTCCTGAGACGCGTTCTGGCACCCCCGTCGGGTCAAAACAGCCGGAAGACAAATCAGTGCACTCCTGGGCCCCTGGGACCCCCTCCTCATTGATTATATATACGCCGACATATATATATGTGTATGAATATACATTAAATACATATACATATACATATACATAACTATATGTATATATATATGTATGTAGACATACATATATATATACACACAGATGTGATTACATACATATATATATATATAAATATAAATAGAACGTTGCATCCACATGCACGTATATACATGAATGCAGGTGTTCATACTTTACATGTATAATGTTTCACGTAGCCAGCGTGGACCCAAAACAGAAAGTGCTTGCACTGTGGATGTGTAAGTTATGTGGTATGTGGTGCAAGTTATGCGGTGCACGCTATGTGGTGCAGATTACGTGGTGCAAACACAAGGCGGCAACGAGGCAGCAACGTGATGAAAACTCGCAGGACCTCCCAGCGCACGAGGCGGCAACGAGGCAATAACGGGCGGCAACGTGGCGAAATCTCGCCGGACCCACCCAGCGCACGAGGCGGTGTATTTATCCATATATATATATGTATATATATGTGTGTTTGTGTGTGCGCAAAAAGAAAATATATGTGCGCGTACCCTCCCTCCTCCCTCGTGTACGTCCTAATGGTCCCTCCTCTGTACTCGACCTCAGCGTTGAGCGCCTGGGCGAAGAAGGAGCGCCTGCCAGAGAAGGGCCCCCCGCGCGGCGGGAGGAGCGCCTGCCAGAGAAGGGCCCAGCAGCACACCGACAGCGCAACGATCTGGAGGATGGTCACCTCGGACTGCCGCGGGCGCGGAAGGAACACAGGATGAGGAACACGGAGGGGAAGGAGGAGGAAGAGGGGAGCGGCAAAGGGTGGGGAACAGGAGGATGAGATGATGACGACGACGATGACGATGATGACGATGACGACGACGAAGATGATGATGATGACGATGATGAGTGATGGTAGCGGTGGTGGTAATGGTGATGATGATGGTGATGGTGATGATGACGATGACGATGACGATGAGAATGGTGATGATGATGATGATGATGATGATGATGATGATGATGGTGATGGTAATGATGATGATGATGAGAATGCTGATGATGATGATGATAATGATGATGTTGATGATGACGATGATGGTGATGACGTTGATGCTGATGATGATGCTGATGATGAGGAGGAAGAGGATGATGATGGTGCTGATGGTGATGGTGATAGTGGTGATGATGATGAAAACGACGACGATGACCATGACAATGACAATGACAATGACAATGAAGATGACGATGACGATGACGATGAGGAGGATGAGGATGAGGCTGAGTATGAGGATGATGCTGATGCTGATGCTGATGCTGATGATGATGATACTGATGATGATGCTGATGCTGATGCTGATGCTGATGCTGATGCTGATGATGATGATGATGATGATGATGATGATGATGATGATGATGATGATGATGATGATGATGATGATGATGGTGGTGGTGATGGTGATGGTGGTGGTGATGGTGATGGTGATGGTGATGCTGCTGCTGCGACGCGCGGCTTCGCAGGGTGCGTGTTCGAAGACAGGCGGGGGCCGAGGCGGGCGGCGCCAAGTCGCCTGGGGCCCACGCCGCGTGCGCCACGGCCTGAGGCCCCCAGGGCCGAGGGGGAAAGCGAGGGCGGCAGCCAGCGGCGGCAGCCAGCGGCAGCCAGCGCCGCGCCCGCCCGGGCCCCGGCGGGCGGCGGCGCGGTGGCCGCGGCCCGAGGCGTCGGGGCTGCGGGGCGGAGCGCTCCGCGCAGCCCGCCGCCCGCCGCCCTCGAGGCGCGCGCCGCGCGCGGCCCTCGAGGCGCCGGGCCTCGCGGCCGGGGGCCTCGAGGCGGCGTGCTCGGCGGGCGATCGGGCCGAGCGCGGCGTGCGGAGGTTGCCGGGGAGGCCGCGCGCAGCGGGCTGCGTGCACCGGCGGGAGGTCGTCGCGGCAGGCACGAGGGCAGCCGAGGTCGGGGGGCCATGCCCCGTGCTGCGGGTGCCAGGCAGGTCCGCAGGGCGGCCAAGGGGGAGGCCCCCTTGGGGCCAGCGTCGCGAGGGCCTGCCACGGGGGCACCGAGGGCGGCCAGGTGCTCGCAGTCCACATGGAGGCCCTGATGGAGTCGGAGAGGGGGGCGTCTTGCTGTCGGGCGCGGCTCCGCGGGGCCCACTCGAGCGGGAGATCGGTTCGATGGTCGGGCCGAAGAACAAGCAGTAGGTAGTCGCAAGGGTCATGCCACAAATAATGTACAGTCAGCTCGTATCGTAAGGACGCGCGGTAAGGATGCAAGGGCCTTGGAGGGCCATGTTAACGTTAACGAGGTTGGCCAACGAAAGTGGCCAAGGATAGACCGAGGAGGCAAGGATACAAGGGTACCCTTGGGAAGGTTGCTCATCCTTACTATGCGGGTTGACTGTACCGTCCGCAGCCTTAGCCCTAGGAGGAGGGGAGGGGGAGGAGGAGGAGGAGGAGGAGAGGAGGAGGAGGAGGAGGAGGAGGAGGAGGAGGAGGAGGAGGAGGGGGAGGGGAGGAGGGAGGAGGAGGAGGAGAGGAGGAGGAGGAGGAGGAGGGGGGGGGAGGGGAGGAGGAGGAGGAGGAGGAGGAGGAGGAGGAGAAGGAGGAGGGGGCACCATTGGGAAGGCTGCTCATCCTTACTGTGTGGGTTGACTGTCGCAGCGATGGGCAGCAGCGGAGCTTCTGAGCAGCAAGGCAGCCAGCGGCCCCAAGTCGGGGCTCTCAGGTCGTGTGCTTTGTTTTAATGAAGGGGGCACAGGGACACACAAATGAGTGTACGCAACTCCCAAGATTCCCAATAGTTTGCACCAGTTGTCGTATTCCCCCCCCGCACACACACTCTTCCCATAGTTTCCCACATGTTCCTGGGATTCGACGAGTTCGTGTGTCTGCGTTTTCCCCCTCCTGAGAAAGCCCCATCCGGGGCCGCCAGGGTCCGGGCTGCTGCTTCAGGAAGCGATCGTTTTGGGGAGCTGGTTGTCCGAGGCGTGGCTTCTTCCGAGGCGCTCGGTAAGCCCTCGCAACTTCACAAGTATGCCGCCGTACCCCTCCCTGGCCGGCCCCGTCCAACTCCGAGCATTGTTGGAGGCCTGGAAATTGGCACCAACACCAGCACAGGGGGGTGCCTCCACATGGGGAAGATGATCCTAGATTTCGGTCTTGGTGGTAATCCGCCGATCCGGCGTGTGAGTTACAAGGAGTCTCAGCTACAGCCTCGAGGCTGAGCCTCAGCCTCCGGGGGGGTTGCCGGGGTGGCTCTGCCGGGGAAGGGGGGGTGGGGGGGGGGGGGGGTGCGAGTTTCCGGCGGATGCGTTTTTTGACACCCCTCACAAGGATCGTGGCCTCCGAGGGGGTTCCGAACTCGAGTGCCACCCCTCCCGCACCAAGAGGCTCCGAAGAAGCCTCCAAGAGGCCCCAAGGGGCCCAGAAGAGGCCCCCAAGAAGCCCCAAGAGACTCCCAAGAGACCCCCAAGAGGCCCCCAAGTGGCCCCAAGAGGCCCACGAGGCCCCCAAGAAGCCCCAAGAGGCCTCCAAGAGGCCCCCAGAGGTCCCGGCCAACCACGATATTCCTACCAGCGTCCATGAGGCCTCTGACCCACCACCCACGCACGGTGGTGGGATAGGCCGACGGCCACTGGATAAATGCGGAATGAAAGGGGGGGAAGGAAGGGAAAAGAGAGGAGGGACGAGGGCGAAGGAGGATCACATCAGTCGGAGCGCCCCGGATCGGCGGCACTGGCCGAAGGCCACTACAATATTTCGGTCACCTTGGAAGCCAGAATATTACCTCCATCACCGATATCGGGATCGTCTTCCCTCGGTGGAAGCACACCGCCGATCTTGGTGTTGGTGTAAACCTCTACGCCTCCGAGCATTGACGCACCTGGGAAAACGTCAGGGGTACTGGGGCTGGGGCTGGGGGCCGGGGAGGACGGAACTCCCGTGCTGTCGGAGCATGCTCCCTGGGGCTGCGTGACCGTCCTCGGGGGTGCAGATAGGCCAGAGCCGCTCTCGCGGATTGCGCTGGCGTTCCAGAACCGACGTGTATGGGCATGCAGAAGTGCACCGACTCAGAGCTCTTGCAGCTGCAAAGCAGGCCAGTCTCAGTGAGCCCGATTTTCATGCAGAGATCGGTACAGGAGGACCCCACGAGTTATTAATTCATTCACTCCTCATCCTCATCCTCCTCCTCCTCTTCCTCCTCCTCCACCTCCTCCTCCTCCTGTTCAGTTTCGTTTCCCTCCTGCACGTCCCCCTCCTCGAAGGGGAAGGACGAGGGGACGGGGAGAAGGAGAGGAACGAGGCGGAGGAGGACACCGCCTCCCGCGAGGATTCCGGCTGCGCTCATAAAGCTTGGCATCCCGGTCACGTGGTGGTGGTACGCGACGACGGACGCCACAACCGAGAGGATCTGCCTGAAGGAGGTGCAGATTTCCCATCACGTCTGGGGCTGTGGGCAGATCAGTGCTAACGTGTCTCTCCCTGTTGCGTGCCCCGAGGCCGACGCTGAGCAGTGTGTCCCGAGAGCTCACGTACACGGACGGGGTCGAGAGCTCGGGTCGTGCCTGCTGAGCGTCAGGAAGTTGTGGTTCCCCCGCGGCGTCGGATGTCGAGTGAGGTTCTCTACCCTTCAAATGTCTGCAGCCTCACTGACAACCCCTCTCCACCGCTACTACGGCCTTGGTGCCAGCCTCCCTCGTCATTCCTATCGGCCAAACCCTCCCGCCCCTACAACCTAAACAACACATGTTGCATATATCACGGTGTCGCGCACTTGTGTTCCCACTGCTGCGAGTGCTCATCAGGCCTTCCTGCCCCCCCAAACCAGCGCTGATTGACAGACGCAACCTGGTCTTGGGGTAAAAACAACTTCGGCGCAAAATACTCACCCCCCTGGACTGGACTGGACTGCACCCGCCCGCTGCGCGGGTACGAGCGGGTTCGATAAGCAGTTACAACGAATGAAGCTGGTACGCGCCGAAGCGAAAGTGCACTGTGCTTCTCGAGTGCGCGGGCGCGCACATGTGCCTGCATCCGCCACCGCACCCCATGGCTAATTGATGCATGGTAGACTGGCTTGGGGGTGTTCCGTAGGTCTAGATCTTCTAAGACACCCCCTCCGGGTCAGGCAGTGTTGCGTATTGCTGATCTGGAAACTACCGTCGCCGACCCCATGGCCAACCCTGGCCAATCTTTCGAAGCAACTTAGAGCGTGCTGGAAGCAAGCGGGCACGCCCGGACTGAGCTTCCTGGTATTCGGAGGCAACTACTGGGATGTCTTCGTCGGAACAATTAAGGAGGATTAGGCTCCATTTGGGAGCTGTTACACCAAATGGGCCTCGGACTAAGCAGGATTAAGCCAGGCTAACCGGGATTAACCAGGATAAAGCCAGATCAAGCAGGATTAAGCCGGATTTCGGACCAAGGCTAAATCAGAATTTGACCTCCCAGGAGTTGCCTCCGACCTGGCATCAGCGCGGGCAGCGCGATGACCATCGCGTGCAAGCGGGCACACATGACATGCGGTGAGTCCCGTGGCAACAAAAAACGACGTGCGCCATCTTCGAGCCGGCACGCTCTGGAAAATGCAGAGGCAAGGGGACGAGAAGGATGAGGAGGTTGAAGCTTGAGGCTGAAAAGGAAGATACACAAAATTAGGACGACGAAAAAACTTTAAGCCGCCGGAGGACGAAGAAGAGCAAGATGACAGCGCCTAGGACTTCGCGGACAGTCAGGACACAGATTCGGCACTATCGCTTCCAGGGGAAAACCTTCGTCTACACTTCGCGACGGAGCAAAACTTCCTCTGCAACGATGGCCAGCCCTCCTGGCCACCCACCTCCGGCCAACTCTGGTTAGGGACAATTCTCTCCATGAGACACAGTACTCAAAACTGGCAGAACCGGCTTCTTCGTCGAAGATGCAAGAGTTCTGCGCGCACTCGCCAAAAGCTGAAGACAGCCATCGGACTTCATTCAAGCGACAGAAGCGATGTCGAGCGCCGTGCCATGATTCGGACAAGCCTCGTGAAATGCGCTCCTAGAGGCGCTGTAGCTTATCAGAGTGAGGGGGCCGAACGGTCATTCACTGTCCCTGGGTGCGTGGCTGAAATGGGATTCCGCGGTGCTGATTGTTGTTGTTGTTGCTGTTGTTGCTGTTGTTTGTTAATGTTGTTTGTTGTTGTTGCTGCTGCTGCTGCTGGCTGTTGTTGTTGTTGTTGTTGCTGCTGCTGTTGCTGCTGCTGCCGCCGCTGCCGCTGCTGCTGATGCTGTTGATGTTGCTGTTAGTGTTGTTGTTGTTGTTGGTGTTGTTGTTGAACATTATTTATTCTAAAGAATAATTATTGTTGGGCCCCCTGGTGCGCGCCCCCCCTGCGCCGCCTAGGCCGCAGCTACATTTTCATCATTTTCGTGAGGAAGCCTCAGAAAAGAGGGTGTGTACAGGATCCGGTTGTTTTGTTGTAATCCGCTTTCCCTTGCAAAAAACAATAGAAAATTACATTTCTTGTTCTAATATAATCAAATTTCAAGAATCCCTTGCAAAAAATAAGGTAAAGTGGACATTCGCGCGCGCAAGACGAAATCCTTCCAAAACCTTAGTGTTCGCAGCGATTTTAACATAAAAACATCAAAAAACCAATGGTTTTTCAACAAAAAAATGTCAAAATCTCATCCCGCGCGCTCTTGCGGATTCGTAGGAAACCCAACACTTTTTAAACATTTCTGTCAAACGGGCTTTTGCGAGCAACTTTTTCGAACTTCTGCGACAACGGTTGCGCACCTGCCAGGGCCATCATCCCTGTCAAATAATACCATGCGGGACACATTCGTTTTTTCTTCGCGCGCGCACGCCGAAATCTCCAAAAACCATTGGGCTTCTTAAGAATTTTAGCACCGCGCATCATAAAATCACACGAATCGCACCGTAGGTCCTCGAAAAACACCTGCACGACTTTTCAAAATTTCTACCCGCGCGCGCTGTCCGAATCCTAAAAAAAACAATGGTTTTCCAACATTTATGTTACATGAGCTCGCGCGAGCTACTTTCGCACGCTCTTGCAACGGGGTTCCACGCCAGTGTAGTAGCCACGGTCGTCCGCAGGCCACGAAGTGAAGTGTCCGAACGTCATAGGGCGGGAAGCTGGGTGTGGGTGGTGGCGAAGAGTCGTGTGGATATTTGGTAGAGTTTGCACTGCCCCCCCACAAAGTGGGGGTATTGGCTGGCGTCGCATGAAAACCCTGGCACTGGTGAGAACACTGAGCGTTCGGGTAAAGTGATTGTTGTTGCTGTTGTTGTTGTTGTTGTTGTTGTTTTTGTTGTTGTTTGTTGTCGTCGTCCCACCCGCGACCCACCCCGCGACCTACCCGCGACCCACCCGCGACCCACCCGCGACCCACCCCGCGACCCACCCGCCGACCCACCCGCGACCCACCCGCGACCCACCCCGCGACCCACCCCACGACCCACCCCGCGACCCACCCGCGACCCACCCGCGACCCACCCGCGACCCACCCCGCGACCCGCCCGCGGCCCACCCCGCGACCCACCCGCGACCCACCCGCGACCCACCCGCGACCCACCCGCGACCCACCCCGCGACCCACCCGCGACCCACCTTCGACCCAAACCACGTCCAAGGTACAAACCACCATTTTCGGCGCCTGCGGCGGGCTTTTTTTGAATTCCGTCCTGGTGGAGAGCCCGCGACCCACCCCGCGACCAACTCGCGACCAACCCGCGACCCAAACCACGTTCAGGGTGCAAACCACATTTTTCGGCGCCTGCGGCGGGCATCTTTTGCCTTCGTTTCGGGTGGAGAGCCCGCGGCCCCCCCGCGTTGAGGGTGCAAACCAAATTGTTCGGCGCCTGCGGCGGGCATCTTTTGCATCCGTTCCCGGTGGAGAGCCCGCGGCCCACCCGCGACCACGTCCAGGGTGCAAACCAAATGTTTCGGCGCCTGCGCCGGGGATCTTTTGCATTCGTTCCCGGTGGAGAACTCGCGGCCCACCCGCGACCCATGCCACGTTCAGTGTATAAACCATTTTTTCCGGCGCCTGCGGCGGGCTGCTTCTGCATCCCTTTCAGGTGGAAGTGGAGAGCCCGCGACCCACCCGCGACCCAAACCACGCTCACTGCAGAAACCAATGCCGCACAAGCGCGGCGGGGGATTTGTGCATGCCGTCTGAGCCCGCAGCGACCTCTTCAAGCCCCGCGCATCCACACCAGCCCGTCCAGCAACTTTGCCCTGGCGAGTTGCCTTGATCAGAGAAGTCGGGGAGCATAAAGTGGAAAAAAGGATTGCGTTGCCGTTATCTTGGGAAAGGAGGGGGAGGCAGGAGGAGTAAACAGGGGACGAGGAGGACGCGGAAGAAGAGAGGATGTAAGGAGAATGTGGAGAAAGAGGAGGAGGCAGGAGCAGGAGGACGAGGAGGGGGAGGAGGGGGATGATGATGATGATGACGATGATGATGGACGACAATGGGAGGACGATGATGGAGGCCGATGAGGGGGTGGACGACAATGGGAGGACGATGATGGAAGGACGAGGGGGGGAGAGGGAGGACGAGGAAGAAGAGGAGGACGAGGTGGAGGAGGAGGATGACGATGACGACGACGACGAGGACGAGGACGAGGAAGAGGATGAGGAGGAAGAGGAGGAGGAGGAGGAGGAGGAGGAGAGCGCCATCGACAGGGAAGGTGGGGGCCACGAGGTCCGTCGGCTCGACGACGCCCGCGTCGCCCACGCCCGCCCCCTCACTCTTATCCGAAATTGCGGGGTGCTACGTATAGAGGTGGGCGGATGTGGCGCAAGCCTACAGAATCAATACTGTCAGACGAGGGCATGCGGGCCATTTGCGCGCGAGGAGGCGGAGGAGGAGGAGGAGGAGGAGGAGGAGGGAGGAGGAGGAGGAGGAGAGGGAGGGGGGAGGGAGGGAGGAGGGAGGGGAGGAGGGAGGGAGGGAGGGGAGGAGGGAGGGAGGAGGAGGAGGAGGAGGAGGAGGAGGAGGAGGAGGAGGAGGCGTCTTAAGCACCATCGGGGAGCCACCCCTTCTGTCAAACAATACAACATGGCGGGCGGCCTCACGCGCGTCCGCCGCCGTGAGCGCGCGTCGACCTCGTTTCCAGAACCTCCCTGGGGCGGTGTCGGACCGCTTCTGTAAAAGGGCGTGCACAAGCATATCCTCCTCCTCCTCCTCCTCTCCTCCTCCTCACCTCCTCCTCCCTCCTGCTCCTCCTCCTCCTCCTCCTCCTCCTCCTCCTCCTCCTCTCCTCCTCCTCCTCCTCCCCTCCTCCCTCCCTCCCCTCCTCCCTGCCTCCCTGCCTGCCACCTCCTCCCCCTCCCTCCCTCCCCCCCCTCCCTCCTCCCTCTCCCTCCCTCACTCCCCCCTCGCTCCCTCCCTCCCACCTTCCTCCCT